CAATTTAAAACAGCACACCTAAATTTCTTAGAAGGCTAACAGTCTGTGAGTGATCATATTCCCGTGACTGCAGCATTCAGGATGTATCACATTATACAAGGGATTTCAGTGTTAACTGAAAACCATATTTTTAGAAATTAGTTACTCATTTATTATCAGGGAGAGGCACGTGTATGTTATACAATATGCCTCCTCCAGAGCTACAAGGGCCGAGAGAATGAGGAAATCTCCACATTTATTCAGGTCTCTGAAAATACTAAAGCCTTTACTCTCTTTCCAGCATTTCCTGCCCTTTTCACTTGCACAGTCTCAGCAGAAACCACACACACAAGAACAGTACTACTGCTTTCTTGCTGAGCACAGATGCACAGAGAAGGAACCTTATTAATATGCAAATGGAAGAAGACAAGATAACATTAAAAATCCTTTGCGTGAAACAAGACAAAGATATTTACTTAAATTGTTTTTCAACCCAGGAGCAAAGAAAATAAACAACTAAAAATAGATGAAAAATAATTCTTAACTCCTTCTGTTTTGGCTCCTACGTTTATTCTAAAATTGGTAAATAGATTCCTATAGGAAAGAGAGAGATCTGCTCTCTGACAAATAATTAAACTCAAGTGGACAAATACTGAAGCTTCCCATTTGAAAACCTGAAGAGATACTAAGAAGTAAAAATGTGGAAGAATACGTGCATGCTGAGAAGAGGTGATCATCTGAAAAAAAAGATGCTGCAATGAAATAGAAATGAAAATATAAAAAAAGGATGAAAGTGAGACAATCAGCTTCCAGGACAGCACTAAGCAGCAGCTCTGCCATGCTGAAGGCTGAGCCAAAGAGTAATCCATCACTCACAGCTTATCACAGTAGAGAAGCCACTGGTCACAGAAGAGCAACTCAAAGACATTTTCACATTTCAATTATACAGCAAAGAAAGCAAAAAAAAAACCAAAACTGCACAGTGGAGCCCATCCAGTATTAGCTTTACTAGAAAAAAGAGGGTTTTATTCCCTCTACTAATGTAGGTACCAACAAAGAGACGTTCATTGGAGTGACGACTAAAACCGAGTGCATCATTTCACAGGAAACCAGCTATTGCACTGATCCTGTGCCCAAAACCTTCAGGCAAGTAGGGCCAGGATTAGGAAAAAACTACAGATTTGATCAACCAAGGAGATAAGTATTTAATAACAAACTATGTCATGACACACATGGTTCATATCCTTCCTTAATGCCTTCATTTACTGGAAAACACAAACACCAACTTTGAATCTCTGAGAAGTAATTCAACAGAGAACGTTCTGTCTCTTTTTCCAGTTTGCCCAGTAAGAACACTCACCCAGCCAACCCGATTGATTTCCCTGCAACACACTCCCTTCCTCCTACTAAATTCACAGTGGTTGTTTGTCAAAATCAGAAAATTATAGAGAAAACACATCTTAGGTTCAATTCTGCACTGCACACACTCCAAACAGCTGAGAGGACTATTTCTGCCAAGTGCTTTGGTTCCCTGGAGCATCGAGCTGTTAACTACATATGCACGCGTGGAAGTAGGTCGAGAGTATGATTCTGTTACGCATTGTAATGCAGAGAATGAGCTCTTTAAATAGAATTAGCACGGTATTTAAACAGAAAAGTGTGCAAGAAACAGAATTCTTTGCCCAAAGATGTTTGCTCTGTGCAAATCTAGCTGATGCCATGTCCTCAAGTGACATCTCCAATCTAGAATCTGGAACTTTTTTTTTTTTAATTCCTTATCACCATTGTCAGCCTTCAAAGTTTATTTTTAGATACTTTGTCACATAAATGTTCTGCAAGTGAAAAAGTTTCCATCTTTCCTGATTCCCTACTGTTCTGAAGGAGAGATTAAGAGACAGAACTAAAACTGACAGACCCGTTAAAATGAGGCACTGAGCTTTTAATGGTTTTCCTTTTTATCTGACAGCTCAGATCATCTCTCATTTCTGCGGGGAATGAAGAAAATGCTCTTCAGCCTTTTACCCTCCCACTTGAGGACAGACCTTTTCTAGCCTTATTCAATAATCCCATTCTTCAAATACCTTGCTTTCATATTAGAAGAAGGGCATGAGTGCACAGCACCTCTGTGAAAAGTTATTCTAGAAATATAAAGCTGCCGCAATATTACTTTCAACACAGATTATTCATTTTGTTTCCAACGAAATGACAAGTTTATAAGCAAATAAATTAGCTTTTAACAAGATTTCTCTAAGTCACTGTATCAATCATAAACCCAAGGTCTAGCCAGACCCAACCATAGACAGGCCACCTGTAGAAGAGAGCCACAGCCATTTAAGGGATGCAAGGATGTAGAAGTTGTTGCCTAGAAATCTACAGAGCATTTGCATCTGATCTCAATACTGGCAAGTAGGAAGAAACTGTCAAGAATAAAATCAGTAAACTTATGAATAATTCAATGTTAAAAATTGGATATGGCTGTTCTACCGGGAAGAAATGCTTCCCAAATCCTTCTTTGAACCAATAAGCACATAAAAGAATGAGGTAGTCAATAGAGTCTACAAGGATTTTTAGAAAACCTTCAACAAGACCCCTTCTCAAAGGCTTTTTAGGGAACTAAGCTGCCATAGGGAGGTCCTCTTATGCACTCAAATAATCAATTAAAGGATAGAAAGCAGAAGGCATGAATAAACAGTTCTCACCCACAGAATGAAGGTGAGGTCACTCACAGAATCTTACAGAAAGATGTGCTGGGGCTGTGGCTACTGAAAATGTTCACAAATCACACAGAACACACAGAAATAGTACACTAACAGAGACTGCTGGTGAGACAAAGCTGTTTGGAGCAGTAAATTAAAAGCTGACTGCAAAGATGCTGTGCAGAACGTGTTCATAACAAGAGAAAGTGGCAAAGTGGCAGAGGTCATTCAGCTGCAGATAAATACTAAATGCTTCATGGGAAGAGCAGTCCTCAGCTTGATGGACACACTGACAGGCCTCTGACCTGGATCAGTCAGGAAAAGAGGAGCAACATCTGCAGCAACTTTCTCTGCAGGAGTAGTAGAGGCCCCAGGAGCAGGGAAGGCTCCCAGCTCTGGAAGATGAGTAGAATTCTTCACTTTTACTAGAGAAAACCTGGAAGGTCTGAGTTCTCTGCCTCTGTGAAGCTGCCTGCTAGACAGATAATTCCTGTAAGTTGCTTCTAGTTCAGACAGATCCATTCCTTTATCTTCTTGTTATATGACTGAGATACTCATTCATGAGAGTTTTTCTTTCCAAAGTATGTTCCCAAATCCTTTCATCATCCTGTGGAGCTCCTAAAGATTCTTTCCAATGTAGAAGAGGTCATCTTTAATTCTGGACACACTAATCAAAAGCAGCTGCAGCAGAAGTAAAATACTGAGTTACTCCAGTCATCCTATTCCCACACAAGATTCCTCTGTCCATACATCCTTCAGCTCCTCATTATTTACCATTCCTTTTTTCTCCGTCATCAGGATATCTTTATCAGAAATTATTTCTCTGTTTTCTTTTATGTGATTAACCAGAGTCCTTCCAATGAACAAGTGGTTTTCATGATGCCTTGTTTGAAATATTTATCTAGTGCTGATGTTCAGTAACCTGCTAGCTAGCCAGTTTTTAATTCTTTAATGTCTCTTGTTCATGTTCTAACTTGTCCAGCATTTAAACTTATATTTTCTTCATGGCAGACTACACCATCTACAGAATTTTGATAAAATTACCTTCCCCAATGAAACCTGTATTTTCTTTTTTTTTTTTATTTTTTATTACCTTGTCAAGATCTACTTTCAGGAAACTCACAGGTATTCATTATAATACACATCTCACATTTAATTCTTGATAAACTGAATGCTATTCCATCATTTTTCACTTAACTGATATCAAACTGACAAGATCACAATTACCTGCATTGTCCTAGTTACTCTCTTCAAAGATTGGCACAGCAGTGGTTTTACTGCAGCCCTCTAGAGCCCTCCAAGATTAGTGAGAAATCAATATAATTGGCTGAAAGTTCTCTCTGCTCCTTTATTTTTTCACTGTTGTTTTTTTTAACGTGAATTACTCATGACAATGAACTTCAATATATGTAACCTAAGCAGCTATATTTAAGTCATCCAAATTGTTGTTTGAATAGGAGTCTGTATCACCACAGAATTTATCTGGAGAACAGGAATATGTATCATTATATCCCAAAGGCAGGACATTTTTCTGCTTGTTATGACAACTCCATCATTTCTGTCTATTAATCAGCTGGAGGTGGAAAGAGAGTAACAGGGAAAAGGAAGGGAAGTGGAAATGGCTTTGTCTAAGGCAATTATTTATTCTACATGTGGAAAAAACTGTAAAATGAAGACTGCCTGCCAGAAAAACAGTAAAATCTGCAACTGACAGTCAGAGAACTCCCTATTTAGCTGCAATATTCTACCTTCTGGATCGCTCCTGAGCAACAGAAGTCTTTCTGTACAAGCTGGACAAATCTGTTCATTTAGTACCTCAACCTCCCCGTGTGAAAATTTGAAAAAAATTAGATTTTTCTTTGATCAGAAGTGATCTGAGAGCTAGGAGTGAAAGGCTATACACACACATTGCTCTTAGAAAGGTCAGCTAATTTGTTCACTGATAATTATCTAGAGACATTCTTGCTTAACCTCACAGCAGAACTTGCTCTGAGGGCTTCTCTTCCTCTGGAAACCTCTCTACCAGCAGAGCAAGGAAAGTTTTACTGCACCACACTTCTACTGAAGCGGACCTCTGCTATCTAGCTGCCCATTAGCTTGAGTCTTCCTCTCCTCATATGCATCTTAGGAGATACAGGATGCAAGGTTATAGAAAGTACTTCAGGATATCCAGTACTGCAGAAACACTGCACTCTCCAGATGCAATCGAAATCAAGCTTTAAAATCTTATTGATTAGTGACTTGGATTGGAACAGGGTTAGCAGGGCAAAATACAGTCACAGCAAAATATGGAACACACTTTAAAATGCAGAGTACTGACTGTACCTTACAGATTTTGTATAGAGACTCCTGACCGTCTCCTTCTGTATCTTTGAAATAATCATGTGCTGGAAATGTACGATGAATATCTCGTGTAATTACACTCTCTTGAACAGAATCCTGTAAAAAAAAGAGAAAAAAAACCCCCAGTGTAATTAAACATAACAGAACATCAAATTCTAAGTGCAGTCAACGTGGATAACATTAGGTAACTGCTTTACTGACTCATCCTCGAAAAGTGCTTGGAGAAGAAACTGAAGATCCTCTAGTTGCACACGCAGTAATAATATGACAGTTTAACAAGAGCAACATGGCATGTTTTCTGTCCTTCAGGCTTACAGTTCCGGTTTAAAACTCACAGGAAATGACTAATTATTTAATTGTAGGTGCATTTTCACCACAGAACATATGCTTACCATATCTCTCTGGGAGTTAAAAAAAAACAAAACTAAAAACACAAGAAAATTTAGACTGTGTCTCTCTTGCAAGCTCAGAGGTATTAATTTAAAATGTGTATCAATCTACCATAAAAATAGTGTTAATTACACATGAGAACTACTACTTAGAAATGTTCAAAGTTTACCATTAAGTGGTCTTTAAAAGAACAAACCCAGAAGTACCAGAAAATGATATACTTCCAGATAAATCCCATACCTTTCCCTGTTAGCATCTCCAGTTGATAAATCCCATACCCTTCCCTGCTAGCATCTCCAACTGATAAATCCCATACCTTTCCCTGTTAGCATCTCCAACTGATAAATCCCATACCTTTCCCTGTTAGCATCTCCAACTGATAAATCCCATACCCTTCCCTGCTAGCATCTCCAACTGATAAATCCCATACCTTTCCCTGTTAGCATCTCCAACTGATAAATCCCATACTTTCCCTGCTAGCATCTCCAATTAAATTCCATTTTTACATTGTCTAGCAACTAGAGATGAATTCAGGTGCCCAAATGTTGGTGTCAAGATGCCATTTGAGAAGCCCAAAGCTGATCTTGCCTGGTAAGCAGCTGCTACTGCAGAAGGATACAAGTCTGCTGTAAGTGCTGCATCATCTCTACAAGCTCCATGTGGATGATCTGCATACCCAAAGTCAGCTAAAATGACACCAAACGTCCAAGTTTAGGCCACTGAGTTGTTCCTAGACATACCTAGCTCTGTAGATAAAGAAGCAATTGCTTACGAGACTGCATTTCTAGAAAAAGATGGAAATCATTGGAATCAGATCTGAGAAACACCATCGTGGGTGTGAGAAAGTGGTATCAAAATGTCAAAGCTGGATCTACAACAGTTAATCAATTATCAGCAGGTTCCAGTTAACCTCAGTGTGAGGTAGCATCTTCAGGTTGGTAAATATCAAACGGTGCTTTTCTCTATTACCTTTGTAATCCTAAAAGAAAAACCAACAGAATCCTCATCTGTGACTTAGAAAATAAATCCTTTATAAATATTTTTACCTTGAAAAAAGTCTCTGTGTTACAGAAAAGCTTCTAAACCCCCAGACTGCAGTTTGTAACCCAGGACTCTCCATAAAAAACCTTCTTTATACCTGCTGGAATCAGCAACCAGGTAACCTCCCAAATTTAGGTGGTTTCCTAATCCCACAAAACTTCCCTGATAAGACTATGCCACACCATCATGCAGCTGCCTGGGGGGGCTTAGCCAGAAGGCCACAGCAAGTCCCAGACCATGACATCACCCTGGGCTGTAGCAGGCTACCTCAGAGATGAGAACCATCGCTGTACTTCTCCATTTAATCCAACAGCAGCCAAGAAAACAGCTATAGTCACAACAAGCACAAACACCACTTCAAATTTAAATGTCTTCTAAAAGCACTCGAGTATCAGACAAGTAAAAAAAGAAAATATTGAGGGGTTTAAAATCTCATTTTCTTCTCTTCTCATTTCCTTTGATTCTCTCAGCTCTCCATATTAAACTATGGCTTCATCTCCCTCCTCTACATCCCCCTCTGCATTTAACCACCATCTTCCAGTTCCTGCACATAGAAGTCTTCCTCTTCCTTCTCTCTTAAATCTCTCCCCTAACGTTCACAGCTTCTTTGCCATCATTAATTAATTGTCCTCATTTTCAGTGATCTCAACTGGAGCTTCCCCTTTGCTTGACAACAGCTTTAGTACAAGACCATAAACACAACCTGTATTTTGTAAAATACCAGGCACATTGTCACGTGCTAAGAACAGGGAAGATTACAAAAAGAGGTGATGTTTTTATTAAGCTAAATGGCACTACTGAAGAAAATAAACATAATTCTGTGCTTTCACCAGGTTACCATCATGTTTTTTCAGGGTATGGAAGCATCATGCAGCTATTAGTGACCAGAACTAACCAACACAGTCTAAATCACATGCACTAAAACACAGAAAAGCAATAACAATTTAATAATAAGCAGTTCTCTAATCAGATTTCTTTAATGAGTATTTTCATTTACATGGTTTTCAAACACAAGAGATTCTAAATAATTCAGTTACATTGTGAGGAAATGCCTTAAACAACATTTAAGATCTACTAGTGCAGCACAGTTACTGAGTATTCTAAAAACCTATTACGTTAATTCTTCAGCACAAATTTGAAAAGATCCAGGCAGTTTTCTCTTCTTGAGACCAGCTCTGAAGAGAAGGACT